ATCAACAGTCATATCCCCTCAATCAGATGTCACAATCGCTCAATTAACAGTCACCTCCTCTCAATCAGACGTCACAATCTCTCAATCAACCGTCACATCCCCTCAATTAGACGTCACCGCCCCTCAATCAGACGTCACCTCCTCTCAATCAGATATCACAATCTCTCAATTAACAGTCACATCCCCTCAATCAGACGTCACCTCCCCTTAATCAGACGTCATAAGCTCTCAATCAGACGTCACCTCCCCTTAATCAGACGTCATAAGCTCTCAATCAGACGTCACCTCCTCTCAATCAGATATCACAATCTCTCAATTAACAGTCACATCCCCTCAATCAGACGTCACCTCCCCTTAATCAGACGTCATAAGCTCTCAATCAGACGTCACCTCCCCTTAATCAGACGTCATAAGCTCTCAATCAGACGTCACCTCCTCTCAATCAGATGTCACAAACTCTCTATCAAATGTCATAACATCTCAATCAATCATTACAGAACTTCAATTACACATCACACTCTCTCCATCAGACGACACTTTCTCTAAATTAGTCGTCGCATTTTCTCAATCAGACGTCACAATCTCTAAATCAACCGTCACAATATCTCATTCATACGTCACATCCCCTCAAATACACATCACACTATCTCCATCAGACGATATTCTCTCTCAATTAGTCGTCGCATCTCCTCAATCAAACATCACAATCTCTCAGTCAGATGTCCTAATCCCTAAATCGTTACCATGCATCAGAGAATATCAGTTCTGCAATCTACGAGTAAATCCTCCTTGAACAGCCAACACAATCTTTCGATCAATCGCCACAGCTCTTCAATTAGCACATATCTTTTGAACGGTACCAAGTCCTCAGTCAGCTCTCGGAATCTTTCAGCTCATCTAAACTTCCTTCACCAACTCCCAAAATCCCTCAACACATCACCATTAATTCTTATCAGAACAGTTCTGAAGGCCTCGCGTTACTAGTCGTACAACACAAGGGGAGTAACTCGCCTATGCTTGTAGTCGTATACGGCGGTGTACGCTCTCGCGTGCACTTATTCAAATACTAAACCGAGCGGTGTAATTGGTGGTAAAGCAGTTTGTTATTAATTACAAATATGACAATAACAGTATACCAAAAACATTTTTTTTTATTAATCCATTGATTTTTTTGCCTGCAAATTCAATTATAAAGATAATTGCAAATATGTAGAAAACGATTGAAGACAACCCGACACTCGGTGGAGATAATCAAATCCTCAATATAACTCCTCTCCCTATTATAGACAACCTAGCCTTAGACATGACTAATCCATCCCCAGACTGAGGTATTACTCGATATTACTAATCAATCTGTCTATATAGATAATCCAGCCTTCGACATAAACAACCCATCCGTCTATACCGATATTTCGACAATGATCAATTCACCATCCCAACTCCTCTTAAAAAAGGCAACCCAACCTTTGACTTCAACGATTTATTCGTCGTTGTAGACAAGTATATCCTCAAAAAAAGACAGTCAAGTCCTCAATATAGACAAAATATGTTCCAGTAACTGACATTTAGACATTCTGGACCTTGATACAGACAATGCGACCATCGAAATAAACAACCCATCCCTTTGTGTAGACCGATCCCGCTGTGTAGACAACCCATCCCTCTGTGTAGACAACCCATCCCTCTGTGTAGACCGATCCCTCTGTGTAGACCGATCCCTCTGTGTAGACAACCCATCCCTCTCTGTAGACCGATTGTGTAGACAACCCATCCCTCTGTGTAGACCGATCCCTCTGTGTAGACAACCCATCCCTCTGTGTAGACAACCCATCCCTCTGTGTAGACCGATCCCTCTGTGTAGACAACCCGTCCCTCTGTGTAGACCGATCCCTCTGTGTAGACAACCCATCCCTCTGCGTAGACCGATCCCTCTCTGTACACGATCTGTCCCTCTGTGTAGACCGATCCCTCTGTGTAGACAACCCATCCCTCTGTGTAGACCGATCCCTCTGTGTAGACAACCCATCCCTCTGTGTAGACCGATCCCTCTGTGTAGACAATAGTTCCCTCTGTGTAGACAATCCATCCCTCTGTGTAAACAATCCATCCATCCCTCTGTGTAGACAATCCATCCCTCTGTGTAGACAACCCATCCCTCTGTGTAGACAATCCGTCCCTCTGTGTAGACGATCCATCCCTCTGTGTAGACAATCCATCCCTCTGTGTAGACAATCCATCCCTCTGTGTAGACAATCCATCCTCTGTGTAGATAATCCGTCCCTCTGTGTAGACAATCCATCCCTCTGTGTAGACAATAGTTTCCTCAGTGTAGACAATCCGTCCCTCTGTGTAGACAATCCATCCCTCTGTGTAGACAATAGTTCCCTCTGTGTAGACAATCCATCCCTCTGTGTAGACCGATCCCTCCGTGTCGACAACCCATCCCTTTGTGTAGACAATCCATCCCTCTGTGTGGACAATCCATCCCTCTGTGTAGACAACCCATCCATCTGTGTAGACAATCCGTCCCTCTGTGTAGACAATCCATCCCTCTGTGTAGACCGATCCCTCCGTGTCGACAACCCATCCCTTTGTGTGGACAATCTATCCCTCTGTGTGGACAATCCATCCCTCTGTGTAGACAATCCATCCCTCTGTGTAGACAATCCGTCCCTCTGTGTAGACAATCCGTCCCTCTGTGTAGACAATCCATCCCTCTGTGTAGACAATCCATCCCTCTGTGTAGACAATACTTTCCTCTGTGTAGACAATCCATCCCTCTGTGTAGACCGATCCATCCCTCTGTGTAGACAACCCATCCCTCTCTGTAGATAATCCATCCCTCTGTGTAGACAATAGTTTCCTCAGTGTAGACAATCCGTCCCTCTGTGTAGACCGATCCCTCTGTGTCGACAACCCATCCATCTGTGTAGACAATCCATCCCTCTGTGTAGACAATCCGTCCCTCTGTGTAGACAATCCGTCCCTCTATGTAGACAATCCATCCCTCTGTGTAGACAATCCATCCCTCTGTGTAGACAATACTTTTCTCTGTGTAGACAATCCATCCCTCTGTGTAGACCGATCCCTCTGTGTAGACAATCCATCCCTCTGTGTAGACAATCCGTCCCTCTGTGTAGATAATCCGTCCCTTTGTGTAGACAATCCATCCCTCTGTGTAGACAATCCGTCCCTCTGTGTAGATAATCCGTCCCTCTGTGTAGACAATCCGTCCCTCTGTGTAGATAATCCGTCCCTCTGTGTAGACAACCCATCCCTCTGTGTAGACAATCCATCCCTCTGTGTAGACAATCCGTCCCTCTATGTAGACAATCCTTCCTTCTGTGTAGACAATCCATCCCTCTGTGTAGACAATTTTTTTTATCTGTGTAGACAATCCATCCCTCTGTGTAGACCGATCCCTCTGTGTAGACAATCCATCCCTCTGTGTAGATAATCCGTCCCTCTGTGTAGACAATCCATCCCACTGTTTGTCCTCCATACGTGATCTCTTAGGTTGCCCTCAATATGGCCTTCCATACTTAATCTCTTAATGTGACCCTTTATACCATCTCTTAATATGGCCCTCCACATACTAGATCTTAACTCTTCGTAATCTCTTAAGATTGGTCCAGGCTATATGTTATCTCTTGCTGTGGTCCATCATACGTAATTTCTTACTGTGATCCTCTTTCCGATATTTCTCAGTGTGGTTCTCGATGTCAACTGCTACGTACTTAGTGATGATCAAATTCGATAACGAGAGTTTAAACACGCCTCGTTGATTTGTCTCCAATTCGATAACGAAATTTTAAACAGGCTTCCATGATTTGTCTCCAAATTCAATCGTTTGCCTTCTCTGGAATCACATATCTATGTATGAGTGTGCTAATAGATAGATTTTAACTTCTATCGGCATTGTGTGCTACCGATACCCCCTCAGGAGTGTTGCTAGCCCAGTAGAAATGTGTAGGCCCAGGCGAGGAGTCTGGGGGCTTGATATTTATTTTCAACCTTAGTTTTGTAATTTTGTCCGACATACTCTATGCACGGATTTTTATGTGTAAGCCCAGGGTTTTTCTGTCTATGACAGCTACGCCCCTGCCCCTGCCCCTGATGTAATCAGATCATATTGTCAATGTAAATTGTGCCTCGATCTAGAGATGGGAAATTCCTCTAACCACTAATATGCTTGTTGAATAATATTTCTACCAGAACAAATTCGCTTGCGCTTAGCGCCGAATGTCGTGGGTATACAAACAAGATGGAAATAGTTTTACATAGGCCAAGATATCACATCAAATTTCGTCCATCAACGGAACAATCACACAGTGCAGAGAAGCCGAGGAAGACAGATGATGGACAGAACATGTAATTAGTGTTAATAAACACAATTATGATTACGTAATATACATGCATTGTATATAAAATTGTTTCTTACTATCTACATACGTTCTCAAAATTGTGTTATTGAATTGTGTTCTTCCACCTCTGAAGAATGAGAGGAGCAAGGGAGACGTTTCCTATTTTTTTTTTTTTAATCCGGAATAGTTTAAACCCGAAAAGTATCAGTGCCTTTTTACACTGGTAAAAACAAAACCGTTTGTTATGGATTAGCTGTTATATAAAGTACTCGATCGAAAATTTACTGTGCAGAAGACCAGTCATTTAGGTCCGTGATTTTTATCGTAACACGTGTTCGCCAAGTGATTAAGTATCTGAACTGTTACAGTCAGAAATCTGCATTATCATATAATTTAAAGTATACAACAAGTTTTCAGTAAAACTTCAAGACGAAAGTGTTCATATTTCTCCTCGTTATTTCGTTCTGTAAATGAGCAGTGAAGGACATCACACACTCGTATACCTCCTGCGCAAACCGTATCACAGAACTACTTACTCGATATTAATGCGCGCGCACCTATGTGCAGGAATGAAAAACTTGAACCGGTTCGTGGGCGATCTTCAGATGTAAACTGCGAGCTAGTGACAAAATGGACCCATAGCAGCCGTATTGTGTGATTTATTTTCTATGATACACCAGATCTGTTAGATTTTTGGATTTATTTGGCTGGTTTTAAGTGTGTCTACCTGTGGGAAAAGGCAGTCGGTCCGTCAAGGACTAGCCGTTGTTTTCGTAAACAAACATGGCTTCGAAGTGTCAGAAATTTCAGCCGAACATTTTTAATAAGCTGAAATGTCAGAGCTGCTTCGGAGCGAAGGATATCCACTCTGCTGAAGCTCTGGAGAATAACAAGGTAAGTTACATATTGTGTTTACATTTGCACAGGCGCAAAGGTCAGCCATCATGACCCGTCATCTTACCTGCAGGATTACCTGTGGGCCCATATCTGGGGATGGGAGTGGTCAGTCCACAGGTTATACTTCTGTATGTTGAGGTCAAGGTTTGACCATCTGGTTCATTTTAGGTTTCTGATAATGATTCTTTTTGTTAGATAGTAATTCATGGAGTGTATAGTAGAATTACAAAATTAAATCCATTACCTTTTAAGTGTCAAATTCATAGATATGACAGATGTATGATTATAGAGAATCAAGCAATAGTAATGAAATATTGAAATATTTGAACTATCTTTAGAAAACCCACTCATGTACATAAGTAAAGAACTGCAGAGTAACACTTTATACAGTAATTCACATACATTCTTACATTAGAAACTAGCATACCCATTCCTATGTACTATGAGTGTTCTAATTCATATAAATAGAAATTGTACAACAATTTGGTCTCCTGTGTGCCAATTTCCAATATTTTATCTTAATATACATTAGATCAGTTAAAACAATGTTTTAAGTGTCTTTTTACTAGAAAAATGTACTTTGTGAGGTAATGATCCTGTCAAACTGATGCTGTAGGTGATCTCTGTTATCATTGTGTTCTGTGGGCAGTTATAAAATACTTTAAACCCCACTTGACATAGTTTGAAGATGACTGTAACATGTTGTTTAATGTATACACCGGCTTTGTTCTCATCACTGATTACTGTTGTAAAATATTTATATTAAAGGAGAAACATCAACATTCCAACACCTACATACAGAATATCACTGGTGATCTTTGTATCGTTACGACATGTCACACCTATTGATCACCTGTTGACCAACACCTGGTACATTTGAGGATCCCAAGTGTGTGTAATTACTAAGAATTAGTAAATACCAGTATGTAAGCAAACATCGTGTTTTCTTGTACACAACAGAATTTTATATCTCATTATTCTCTACACCAGCTCCACCCACTGGTGTTGAATACCCAGATAAACACGAGAAAATACCCTTGTAAACAGTATCCAAAACTTCATATTCCACTATGCTAGTCCATTTGGTGTTATGAATATGAGTGTTTTTGCAATAATTTCATTTATTTCTAATGTAAATCCTATCGATAGATCCTGAGACAGCATAAATATTCATAAAATTTCTTAAATAACTTTTTTTTTCTATCATAGCTGTTAGTTTTACAAATTTCTACCATTCAGTTGTTAAGGTTATCCCAGACTTCCCATACCCCCACCCACTAGTGTTAATCCCCATAATCTTTAGTAAGGAAAATCCTATGTTTTTTTTTACAAGCTCTTACCATACAAGATATTGACCAACCAGGATATGATAGTTTCATCATATTTAATCACACTTAATATATAATAGATTCAGTACTCAAATTGTGCTGTGTCAGGTTGTATCCAGGTGATACTCAGATTTGTACACATCTTTGTGTGAGGGCGATGGAGATTATTATGACTAGACTGGGATTGGCCCCATCTGGATTACAACACCCACCCTCCCTCATTAGTACCCAGAGAGATACCAATGGAGATAATCTCTGGTATTCATTAGTGCCATGCCATTGGCCAGAGGGGAGCACACATTCCAGCATTGTACCTATATACAGTATTTCTAATAACCAGACAATAAAGTAGATTTCAATATTGTAATATAGACGTTGTGCGAGCAGATCAATACATATTATATATGATATGAAAGTCAAGTATTTTATTGTCCTCACATTTGCTAGCAAGGTGTCAAAATTAAAATTATACAGTTTTAATGTAGATTTTACAAAAAGAAAATATGTAAATTCTTTGTACAAGAGGTAGCTGAAGAACTTACAATAGAAACAAATATTTGAAAAAAAACGAAAAGTAGTGAAAAAAGATGAATAAAGAAATGATTTCTTGCAATATGACTTGATTTTAGGATGAGGGTGACTTGGATGGAAGTATTAAAACCAGTCATGTTGGTTGGGTGGATCAGTTCTGTTCATTAGTGCTGGACTCATTCAGTAGTAAGACAGAGCCACCGGTAAGCTGGTTGCATTGGAATGGGTCATGCAGCCAACATCATATATATATTCTTCCCTTCAGATTGCGTTGATGACTGTAGTTGATTTTATTTTGAAATTGCATCTTTTCAGATTTTGCTGGAAGTTTTGGTTTGTGATCCTGTTTTATGAGACAAATACTTATGTTTGATATTTGATTAAAGTAGTTATATCCTTTGAAATTTTGCACTGATTATACCGTGTGGTAAACATCTTTATTTTAGCCACTCATTAGCATGCTTGGGTTTGTGTCTTATTTCAGTTTTGTCACACCTGTCATTAATATTCAACAGCAGAGAGAAAGATTACTTTGTAGATTTATCACATGAATGAATGTACTGCTTAATTAAGTTGTTTAATAATATCAGTGTTCCTATAACAGAAGGCCAAATCTACTGAAACTTGTAAAATTCACTAATTCACAGAATCTCTTATGCTAATGCTCCATCTCTTATCTGTTTGAGTGTTTTTGTTACAAATTCTGGATTCTGTTCTTTGATGTCACTGAATACTTCAGATATTAAGATAACCTTTTTAAAATACTGGTATATTGTTTAAGACAACAAAATTGTAAATAACACATTATTTTCTGTGTACATCAATACATTTTTCAGCATTTTACTTCTAGTTTAGGTAAGGTGCAAGTGCTAATACATGGTTTCAAAATTCGAAATAATTACATACTTTTAATTTGTATATCATATTTGTACAGATAAATTGGAATGAAAATTGTTTTTGATAAAAAAATTTCAGATGATTAATTCATGGAATGATAGAGTTTTATTTAACACAAGTTATACTTAGGTGGAGCTGATGTTGTGTCTCTGCATCTTTACATGCATGGTTGTGTTATTGCAGTTGAGGAATGCAATGTCAAACTGGATTTCATTTCCCTAGATGATACTAGTTTATTGAAAACATGGCCAGATCCCTGAATTATGTATCACAAAAAAGTCTGTTGTCAACCAGTTATCATTTTTATTCGGGCTAGATAGATACAATGTAGATAAATAACAAATTAATGTATGGTGTCTTGTTTATTTTAATTTTGGATCTCATGCATATCTAAATTCTCCATCTTTCAATGGTTTTGTTGAAATTTATATTTAACTAAACTGATTATGATAGTTATATTTTAGAAGTTTGGTTTATTCTTAGACTTAGGATTGTAATCAATAACTGAGAATGATGTAATTCAGTATAATTTTAGCCGTGCATGTTTTGAAGTGAAAAGTAGGCATCACTCCACAAAGTACACGTAACTTTCTGTTCATATGAATCGGGGCAAAGATAGGGGCATATTTAAATTGTAGTAGCATAATAATACTGTATTGGTCTTTCATCAGGAAAATGTCTCTTTGTCAATGTCTTCAAAATGAGTAATTGTCAGATTATTTGTCCAATAACTGTCAATCCAGAGTTCACCTATGTCTACAAACATCGAGGTCAAACGACCCTAAGCCAGTATTTGTCAGCCATTGCAAACTCAGCTTTGTGTCAACAATTGAAAGTACTCTTTGTTATGTACATATAAATAGAAAGGCAGGAAAACAGGTAGAAAGTTAATCCTTAAATGTGGCTTTTTACTTGCTAGCAAGTTCCAGATGGGATTTCTGAATGCATAGATTAAAGAAATGTAGTTCCAGATTGGGGCTTGCATTATATTATCTGGGTGTGTGTCATTACTTTGTATTTGATATTACTACTGTGTAAATTACATGGGGCAGAAAAATTAGTTCAATCAGTAGAAATAACAATGGTGTTGGTCATTTAAGATGGCCCTGCGGGCCTGCCTGGGTGTATTGCTACATCTAGGTTAACGTGGAACACATTGCTTGATCGTATGACCTGCAATTTTATAAGAATTTGTTTGAAACTCGGAATTTTTGTATGTATTTAAATAATTATAACCAGTGCTTCGTGTGTTAAGGCCAATATATCAGTCACAGTTTGTGACTGCTGCTATAACAAAACAATACTGAGACATGAAACAAATAGGAATTTCCTACTAGATTCTATCTGAAGTGTTCTCATACCTGTAAATAATGTGTTGATCAGTACTTGAATTAAAAGAAAACTTTCTGCAGATACTAGTTATTGTTACATCACAAGTTTTATTGGGTATTCTTCATTCACAAATTTATATGTCTACGGCAACCAGTAAAAAATGAAAAATATTAGTAGATACATGATCTATAAAATCAAGTGTCCACTAAATAGAAATTGTTTCAAAAATGACAAAAATATAGTCCCCATTATTTTTGGTATCATGCCGCTGTGTCCAGGTTATGACATTTCAGAGTGATAGCACTATATATACGTCCTTCAGTGCCACATGATCATCCATACACAAGTATTCATATGACATTGGCTTGTGTGAGGTGGTGAAATGCTGAACTAAAAAGTCCTGGACAACAATATTGATGGGGATATATCACCATATCACTCAGTGTACTAAACTTTGTTGGAGTGGTGTGTGTTAAAGACATGTTTAATTTTGTCTGGTAAATTTATCATGAAGTATTTGCGAGTCCAAAAAGTAAAAAATAGATGACATTTCCTTTCATGATCAGCCAGGTACTGTACAGGTATTGTACATCTGATAAGAATGCTTGTATTTCAGGTAAAGGTAATGAAGTTCTCATTTCATTGTTTAAAAGTTGTTTTTCATATGTTTGATTATCTGTATTGCTAGGAATCCCTGGGTGGTACATTTTATATTTAGTAATTCAACAACGCTAAGTTAAAACCTGTAGTTGTGAATGTTTCCCTGCCCAGATCTACCTTCCCTTTGAGAGATCTATGCTTATGAGGAAACATTAGACACTAAGAACTGAATATTCTTGTATCCTAAGGGTAGATGTTTTTACAAGATGTCAGACTGTGATTATCAACAAGTTTGTATTTATTTAGTTTTTGCTCATCAGTATTCAAATACCAGGTCTGTCTGGTTTTCACAGAGGGGATCTGTATATTTCTGTGTTCTAATGTTGCACATTCCAATGATTCATCAGACAAAAAAATTTGAATTTTCTGTGAATCTTTTAGCACATGGGTATGTTGTTTAAATAAAATATTGAACGTGTAGTAGGATAGCTGCACTGTGAGTGTTAGCCTGTAGGATGGCTACAGTGTGGGCGTTTGCCTGTAGGATAGCTGCACTGTGAGTGTTAGCCTGTAGGATGGCTACAGTGTGGGCGTTTGCCTGTAGGATGGCTACAGTGTGGGCGTTTGCCTGTAGGATGGCTATAGTGTGGGCGTTAGCCTGTAGGATGGCTACAGTGTGGGGGTTAGCCTGTAGGATGGCTACAGTGTGGGCGTTAGTCTGTAGGATGGCTACAGTGTGGGCGTTAGCCTGTAGGATGGCTACGGTGTGGGTGTTAGTCTGTAGGATGGCTACAGTGTGGGTGTTAGTCTGTAGGATGGCTACAGTGTGGGCGTTAGCCTGTAGGATGGCTACAGTGTGGGCGTTAGCCTGTAGGATGGCTACAGTGTGGGCGTTAGCCTGTAGGATGGCTACAGTGTGGGTGTTAGCCTGTAGGATGGCTACAGTGTGGGTGTTAGCCTGTAGGAAAGCTACAGTATTAAGAGTTAAACTGTAGGATAGCTATAGTGCTCTCATTGCTAACTTTTGCATTGGTAATCATATCATGGTACTTGTTACACTGACCATTAGGATGACTGTCAGTTTTAATGGAACTAAGGTACCCGTCGTACTAACATGAACTGTAACCTGCTCATCAGGAATTCTAACATATTTGTGGTCTAGTAATCACCAAGAAGCTATGCTATTTATATGACAGAAAAAACAGTGTTAATTACTGTATACCCAAGGGCTAATATGTACTGGATGTAGGTATTATATTAGTAAGAGCCCAGGTGTAGACAGTAGTCCTGTAGATAGGTATCTATGCCCTGAGGTTACATCTAGCCTTGGTGCACAGTGCTGTCATCAGAAGACTTGTGGCAAGAGGCAAGATCCCTGTCCAACTTGCAATATAAAGATACAGATAATTGTTAGGTTCACCTTTTGTATAGTTGCTTGTAAGCACAATAAAACATCACATAAAAAATAATGGATTTATAAAATCATCCAATCACTTTATTGGATCACAGTTCATAGTATTCAACAAAAAACTGATAGCCATGTGCACCTACACAAAATATAAAAGATTTTTGACGATTATTAATAGTGACTAAAAAAAAAGAGAAATATGAACCCTGCAAAAACATTGTATGATTTCCCAGTATACATTTTGTATGAGGTACATTGTAAAACAAAATATAATGCACAACTTTTCATGTGTAAATATTTACAAAATTAATGATATATTGGTCAGATCTGTCATGATAAGATTGATGAGATGGATAGAATGTTTAGGTTGTTGGTACAGATAAATGTCAAGGCTGATCAGGGCATGTATTAAGGAGCTGAAGATAGCATCACCAGCAGTTCTTGTCCTAAGGAAAGATGACGTCACAACACCGCAATTAGTTTTTCCAGTGATATTTTAATCTTATTTTAATTTTTTTTTTAAAGAAGATTTCCTCTCTTTAAAGATTTTTAATAAAAATTGTTATTGTGTATTTACAACACAAAAAAAAGGTATGTGTGTAGGTATGTAGATCAGTGTCCAAGTCAACTGATTGATTATTGCTTCAGTACACATGACACTGCATATTTCTCAGAATTGAATCATACACCGAGTATGTTAATATGAACTTCCTGACCACTCATGGTATGTATTCTCGATGATGTATTGTGATAAGTCATGTATATTACTACCGGTTCTTTATAGTATTACATTGCGACTTACTTGTATCAGTATTCAATATATCGTTCAAATGCAAAATGTTACAGCTAAGGTAAATTACTGCATAGTAACATTTAGCAATGAAATCAAACTTGACATATACCACAGTTTACCCCTGTATTGGATAGTTCACACTAAATTTCCTGGTGTCAGCCTTGATTCAGATG